GAGCCCCGCGGGCCCGGGAGTCGGGGAGCGGCCGCCCCCACCTCAGGGAGTGCGGGCGCCTCTCGTGGGCGCCGGGCCGCTCGCGGCTGCGCCCGAGGACAGCCTTCGGCGTGAATCAGGGCCGGCGCTCACTCCCACACGGCGAAGAGCCACGTAAACGGAATTAGACGGGCGCTGTCCCCGTCTGCTGCTGCTTTTAAACCGATAAAACGACCTTAGCGAGCGTTCGGGGCCACAGGAGCGCGCGTTTCCGGCCAGAGCGCGAGGATTGTTTTGCCCAGCAGGTGTGGGAGCAGGCAGCTGGCACAGCCGAAATGGCCCTGGTGCCCTATGAGGAGGCCGGAGTGGGGCTGCAGAAATTCCACAGGCCTCTTGCCACCTTCCGCTTCGCGAACCACACGATCCGGATCCGGCAGGACTGGCGGCAGCTGGGCGTCGCCGCGGTGGTCTGGGACGCGGTGAGCCGGGCGCGCGGGCTCCGGGGGCACCCGCGAGGGGGGCGGGACTGGTCTCTGTTTTCAAAAATAAAAGAACAGCTTTATTGCGATATAATTCATATACTGTACATTTCACCTAAAGCGTACAAGTGATTTTTTTTTTTAAAGTAAATTCAGAGTGGCGAAACCATCGCCGTGCTCAATTGTACAATATTTTCATTACCCCAGCCCCTCCCACTGGAGTCACTCTCCTGCTCGTGTTCCCGGAAGTCGATGGCATTTTAAGGGCGAGTAAAGGAAAGTTGAGGGAAATTAAAATATCGTACAAAGAATATTATAAAATGGCAATGCCCAAAGTGAAGATCATGTTTTGTTTTTAAAATACATCTTTATTGATTTCCAAGAGAGGAAGGGAGAGGGAGAGAGCAACGTCAACGATGAGGGTTTTGATCCGCTGCCTCCTGCACACCCCCGACTGGGGATCCAGCCCGCAACCAGGGCATGTGCCCCGACTGGGAATCGAACCCTGATCTTCTGGATCCTAGGTCGATGCTCAGCCACTGAGCCACGCCAGCCAGCCATGTGTTTTCTTTTCATAGTTGTAATGGTCCCCAAATATACCATAATTGCTTTTTTACTTCTTCCTCTCCCAGCACTGTTGTCTGCTGCTTGTGACAGTGACTTGCCCTCAGCATCTAGCCCCACACCCGGGATTCAGTGGGAACTCATTTGTTGGATAAATGCTTTGCATGGATACAATTTTACAGTTTTGCATTGTATTAGGGAAGCTGGAAGAACATTCAGGAATAAAAATCAATGTATTCTAACCCAGTTATACTTCAGGGAATCTAGTGTAAGGTAGCTACATAAAAAGTATTCCTAGACCAGGTAATAAAGATACATAATAGTGAGGAATGGGTGAGCCTCCTAAATGCTCACCAAGAAGAGGAAGTGCTAATTACAGTAATAGTATGTGACCATGAAAACAAACTATTTTAAGATTACGTTAGCAGTATACAGTGCTTCTGTAGAATTGTATGCAAATGCTAACTCACGCATCAAGAATCCAACATTTGGTTAAAGCTTACCTTTGGATGCCCAGTAATGTATGGTGAGGGCTCCTTCGGGGTGATGACTTTCAGGGATGCCACAGGGAGGAATGCAGCTCTTGGGGCCTTGGGTGCTGCTCCGCTTTTTCCCTCTGGGGGACGCTGTGGCCTTGCTGACGAGCTTGGTTTAGAAACTGGACAGTCCCTTAAGCAAAATCAGAGACTGTCCATGTCAGTTCTGCCAGAGTAGTTTTGTAAGCCTTGAGTGAAAAGCGGTGACACAAGAAAGGAATCTTCTCACATTCAGCAGGACCCTCTCTTGTGCGGGCAGTGTCGTGGACCACTGTTAGGGCCTTTAGGGCTTTTGCTAGGGCCTGGGGCAGCTCTTCTTCCGCCAGGGTGTGAGGCTTGCTCTAGGAGGTTACCCCAGCGGCAGCTGAGTTCTGTATGTTGCTCACCTGGGAATTGAACCTTGCAGTGGCGGAGGGGTGTGCGATGTCTTCTGCCAGCGCAGAGCCTACTTGAAACCCTTCAGCTCCTGGAGCACTTGTTGACCTTCATCTTAACCCTGTGTTTTGACTCAGGCTGTCGTTCTTTCCACGTATCTGGAGATGGGAGCTGTGGAGCTCCGGGGCTGCTCTGCTGTGGAGCTGGGTGCTGGCACGGGGCTGGTGGGCATAGTGGCCGCCCTGCTGGGTGAGTGTGACACATTATTAGCTCACTCCTTTGTGAGTGGAGGTCATCGAGAGGCGCATTTGCTGTTTTCTTGATGTAAAACCCATTGCTCGTTTTCCCTACTGGATTATTTTTCTTTCCCCTGTACTTATTATGAGTTATGGGCCAGCTGCTGGTGCTCTTAACTCCAGCAAGGCTAAGTTCTCTCTCATCCTGTTATTTATACTTCTCATGGGAGATTGCTTTGCCCCTTTCAATTTTACGATGCTGATAATATGACCTGAAGGTGACTTTATTTCAGAGAGAACTATCTCATTCAGGTACATGGTTTTATTTTTATAGTTTAGGTGCTGTCCCATACACTATCGGATTTAACCTTGTGACGTAGGTAGAGCAGACAGTCTTTTTCCTTCATTGCTAAGGAAAATGGTTTTTGTCTTTTAGGAAGGGTTGGCCCTGCTATGGTTTGTACTGACATCTTTTTTTTTTTAAAATATATTTTTATTGATTTCAGAAAGAGGAAGGGAGAGGGAGGGAGGGAGATAGAAACATCAATGATGAGAGTCGTTGATCGGCTGCCTCCTGCATGCCCGCAACCGGGGCATGTGCCCTGACCGGGAATCGAACTGCAGTCACCTGGATCCTAGGTCGATGCTCAACTGCTGAGCCACGCCCTGCCGACCCAAGTTGTCTTCTTCCCACGACACCAACTTCTCTCTGCTGTTAAGAGAGGAGTTAACTGGGAGGGGACATGAGGTTTCTTCTGTTTTCTTCAGAAAACAGGGGCTTCATGCAAACTTCACTGGCTGGCACAGCAACGTGTTAGTGTGGTAGGTTTAAAATTGTATTTGTTTTTTGTTTTTTTTAAAATATATCTTTATTGATTTCCAAGAGAGGAAAGGAGAGGGAGAGAGAGAGACAGAAACATCAATGATGAGAGAGTCATTGATCGAGCCCACAACCCGGGCATGTGCCCTGACCGGGACTCAAACCCTGATCGCCTGGATCCTAGGTCAAGGCTCAACCGCTGAGCCACGCCCGGCCGGGCTATATTTGGTTTTGACATGTCTTTTTTTTTTGGTTAATCCTCACTGAGGATACAATTTCTATTGATTTTTAGAGAGAGTGGAAGGGAGGGAGAGAAGGGGGCAGAGAGAGACAGAGGGAGAGAGAAACATCAGTGTGAGAGAGAGACACAGATTGGTTGCCTGCTGCACGCGCCCCAACCAGGGCCGGGGGGTTGAACCTGCCACCCATGTGTATGCCCTTGACCGGAATCAAATCCTCAACCCTTTGGTGCGTGGGCCGACGCTAACCACGGAGCGACACAGGCCAGGGCTTGACATGTCTTTTAACTTCTACTAGCTGTGTGGCCTTGGGTAAGTCACTTAACTTCTGAACTGCAGTTTCCCTACAAAATAAATCATTGCATTCATTGCACACTGAAGAGCCAACGGGAGTGTGTGGAAATCTGTTAGTGCATTGACTGGCACAAAGTAAATACTCAGCCTGGCTGCATGGCTCAGTGGTTGAGCGTCAGCCTATGAACCAGGAGGTCACGGTTCAATTCCTGGTCAGGGCACGTACTCCGGTTTCAGGCTCAGTCCCCAGTAGGAGGCATGGTGGAGGCAGCCGATCAATGACTCTTTATCATTGATGTTTTTCTCTCTCCCTGTCCCTTCCGCTTTCTGAAATCAATAAAAACATATATAAAAAAAAGACACTTAAGATATCTTCTGTACCCCTCTCCCCAAACCAACAAAGAAAAGCCCAAAACAGCAGCACAGGCATGGACATTTGGGTGATCAAGCTCAGTGAGTGGTGGGGGGTGGTTCCCGCGAGCCAGGGAGCGCTTACTTGGGCTGGGCTGTTTGGAGGTGTCGGGTGGTTACAGCCTCCACCTAGATCGTGGTGTTGGCCTCCTCTCTACAGTACAGTATCACTGACTGTATTTCCTATGTTCTTACATCCCTGTGACTGTTTCGTAACTATCGATTTGTGCTTCTTAATCCTTTCATCCAGAAAGCCTTTTCAAAACAAGTCCGAGGAGGCCCTCCATGACCCGCTTCCTTTCTGTTACTTTTGTGGGCTCACCTCCGACCATCTGCACCTCAGGCGCTCATTCCAGCCCCCGAGGCTCCCCTTCCCTCGAGGCCTCTGCACTCGCTCTCCTGTCGCCCAGGCACATGCCCCCCCACTACTCCCTCTCCCTTCGGGCCTTCCCCTCCCCTCTACCCAGTCTAAAGCTTCACGCCTGCCTCCCTTACTTTCTGACATTTCATGTCTCTCTCCCCTGATGTCTCTCTTTCGTTAGTGCATATCTCTAACATTCAGGATGGATATTCTTTTTAAAAACCTCTGATCATCTGTCTCCTCACTTGAATGTAAGGTCTCTGAGGATGGGGGTTTTTGTCCCATGGCTGGTTGTAGCGACTCGAATAAGTCTGTAGAATTGATAGATGTCCCAGGGGAATGGTCCGCTGACATCAGGATCCTACTAAGACTCCTGGAACACCGGGCAGGTCCGAGACAGGCATTAGAGGAGGTCTACCTCTATGAACTATTAAAACGAACCCCGAGATGATATGCAAATGACTAGATCGCTCCATACTGCCATAGTGCTCTGTGACTGTTAAGAAATCCAGAGATAAAGTTCTGAGTCAAACCAGGAAAAGGCTCTCTGTGATTTGCATTATCAGGAGATGAAAAGATCACTGAGTTCACCGCGCCAGGTAGCACGCTGCCCAGCAATGAACAGAGTGGTAGGCCCATGCTTGTAACAGCGGACGACTGGAACGCTTTCACCGTCTCACAGTCAGGACTGTAAATGTCAGACTGAATTACATACTGCCCTAACCTAGCGTTACAGGTCAAAATAAGGGACATCAAGTGTCAGCTGCTTCTGAAATGGTGCTTCCCATAGCTCCTCTGGAGTCCCGTGGGGGTTCCCCAGGAAGATCACAACCTGAAGGGGGATGTGAAAGGGAATTTTATGAAAGAATGAAACAGAAATTTTAAATTTTGGAATTTACAGGGCCCAAATCAAACGGGACTATACATGTTACATTGTTACAATAATGCAGACAAGTTGTTTCAGGGCTGACCTTGTGTGGTTGCTTCATTTTAAGGGTTCAGCCTCTCTCAGATATATTGGTTCAAAAAATTGACTCCTTTGCTCACAGTAAAAACCCGTAAGAGATTAATAAACTATTGCCTCATTAATTTTATACTCGATGTAGAAACAGCACGTGGAGGACATGCTTTCAATTTTAACCTACAGTACTTTAATACAATCTGGTATTTCTTTTTTTTTCAAATTATAAGAAAGTTTATTTAGAAAGTTACAGAGGTAGTAGAAGTGAGCAGCTGGGCTGCGTAGGCTCAACAGAGGCAAAAGAAAGGGCCATTGGAGCTTAGGGGAGAAAGAGGCAAAGGTAACAGGCTTGG